TAAGTATAATTATTTATAAATTTTAAGAACTATAATATTAAACTAAAAAATAACTTATACTCTATATTAGTTAATAGTATATAATATTAATATCTTAATTTATCTCTATAGTTACTATAAGACCTATAATACTAGTAGAGAGGCTAATTAAAAGTAGAAGGGAGAATTTCATTCTTAATAAAAAGTAAAGGAGAAGTAATATTACTTAATATTCCCTTTATAAGATAATTATAAGAAGTTTAATAAAAAAAAAAAAAAAAAAAAAAAAGAAAGAAACTTTAAGGTTTATTAGGAGATCTTTATAATACTATATATACCTACTAGTAGATAGTTCTTAGCTCTATTATATTAATTTTATATAGTTACTATTATTAATAATAAATACCTATATAGAATACTATACCTTTATAATACTAGGATATATCTAGCCTATTATCTTATTAATAAGCTTAGATTACTATAATATTACCCTAATTATATAGGTTAATAATAAAAAATATAAGTGCTTACTATAACTTATTAACTAGAACCTTCTATTATATATATTAATTATTATTAAGCTTATAATAATAAAGCATCCTATAATATATAGCTATACTATATATTAAATAAGCCTTAAAGAAAATTAGAGATTAGCTAACTAACTAAACTAATATAATTATATAAGTATAGTATTAAGGTTTATCTTAATCTCTACTTAAATAGTTTAGTAATAGGGCACTTACTAAATACTTATATAAAATAGCTATTATTCTTATATTATATAATTTAAGTTTAAGCCCTAGGTCCCCCTACTTACTATTTTATTCTTAGGAGAGTTAAAGTAGTTTAGGCTTATAAGGAAAAGCTATATTAAGGGTATAAGTACTTAGTTTAGTTATAGCTAGATAGTTATTATAGTAGCTTATTAATCTATTATATTAAATAGAGATCTATTTATTAAGAAGGATTAGACCCTTAATATTATAGCTCTAATTAATCTAATTACTAGGTTGTAATAATACTTAGTTAAATAGATTATACCTATAGCTACTATAAGATAGAAGCTTATTAATATTAAAGTTATATAGGAATACTATTACTCTAGATAATATTTAGCTATAATTACTAGATATTTAAGTAGGTTTAAATATTATAACTATATAAAATTTTCTTATATTTAGTAGCTAATAATTACTAGTTTACTAATACTAATAGATATTATATAGTTATATTAGCTTACTTATTAATTATTAGTTAACTATATATATAATATATAATAAAACTATATAATTAATTAATAACTTATAGCTAATAAGTAGAGAGGTTTCTATCTATAGAATAAGTTATATTAATCCCTTACTATAAAATACTATCTAGTAATATTATAATAATAGAGAATATAATAAATAATATATACTTCTACTAATAGTAAACTATAGTACTTACTACTACCTAGTTACTAACTCTATTTAATTATTAATAAAGAATATAGAGAAACTCTATCTACTCTCCTATAGATAAGCTTCTAAGGGGTAGATTAATAATTAGGTTAGTAATAACTAGTAAATACCCACTATTATATATTTTTTACGCTTTATTTACTCTTTATTTAGTATTATAATAGTAGGGTATATAGCCCTTATAATAGCATTAACTATTATATACGACTATACCTAAAGGAATATACAGGATCCTGTCCGCTCTCCTATAGTTAAGCCTTTAAGGGGCGGATTAGTAGTTAGGTCGGTGATGACCAGTGAATACCTGCTGTTATATGTTTGTTTTTGCTTTTTGGTGCTCTAGTGAAGCTGGGTTATGGTAGGCACTGGATCACCTTCCTGCTATTATGGGAGGGCAAGTCGTAGGGTATTCTGCCAACTAACAGACGGGATAAAGAATAAGGAGCCTCTTTAACCTGCTAAAGTGCCACATAGGTCGAAGTATCATTGTGTATGGTTTCCGTCTGGCTGGGGTGTCTGGTTCCAGATCTGCGACCGGCGATCTTGGTAATGCGACCACTAACCATATACTGTCACATGAAATTGACAACTGAAGAACCTCCATTGAATGACCCCAGTTCAAAAATTACGTCAGCGTCAAGAACCGAGCTCGAAGGCAGTGACGGCTCTCTGATGCTCAGTGCTCATCATCGGTCAGTAAGAAAAGGACAGTTGGCGAGGAAATAATGACGAAGTGGAGGGCTTCAGCATACAGTTTAAACTATGTGGAAAGCTCAAGTGTCATCCAGCTACTTTACTTTATGTCATGCTGCCCACCATGGCATCAGCTGTGCTCCAGATAAGTTTACCGTGGCTTAACAGAATAGAGCTTTCATGGAACAGAGGCAAGTGGAAACTCTGTTGGAGCTACAGCTAGAGGAAGTGGTAAAGAAAGTTCTTTATGTTAGCATGAACTTACAGAAGAATTTAGTCCTAGGAGGCGGCGCTGTAAACATTTCCGCCCAAGCATCCACCCCGATCTTAAGACCTCCTCAGCCAGTACCGTTGAATCTGTATCAAACGATGCCATTGATTGCATAAACCAAGCTACACACTTCGCTAGCCCTGAAACAGTAATTCTATCTCCTCATTGTGGTATGAATTTTATGCCCTGGTTTAAAACGATCTGGTGGATGGCGGACAGAGCAACCGTCTACTGGCACACGAGCTTCATTAAATCGCTTTACCCGTTCATAGCATTTCAACTTATGACTGCAAAACAAGTCACCCAAGGATCAGGCAAGGAGGTAGAGGTAAGAAGACAAGACATTGGCGATTCTAGCTTCATCCACTATCTAGGTGGACGTATTGCAAGAGGCGCAAGACGCGCTTGTGGCGGAATCTTGATTTCTTTTGAAGTGGTAACAGCCTCTTAAAAGCCGGCCAAGAGGGTTCTGGCTCCCGAAAATTCAATCTGCCCAGTAGATTTCCCTGACCAATTGGTCGGGGTAACATGCGAAGGCTCCTGCTCGGAGGCAACCTGTTGAACTGAGGCATTATGGAATTTATATAGATTATTTAGATAAGAGGGCTATTTACTATAAATATACCTTTTTTCCTAGAATAAAAGGGCTAGATAAGTCTTTTAATCTTTAATAGATAATCTATAATATTTTTTTTTCTTACTATAAATAAGGGTTATTTAGTCCTAAGATTAAGCTATATATATAACTATTATATATAGTTTTTAAAATATAATTTATAGCTTATACTTAAACCTTTAATACTATAAAAACTTAAATATTTATATATTTAGCTTAAGTATAAGTATTAATATCTTATTAAAAACTTTAATAAGAGCTAGCTAATATATAAGTTAATTATAGCTCTAAAAGAAGATACTTATTACTAATTATAACTACTTTCCTATATAGTAGTAATAATAGTAATAATAATAATAATAATAATAATAAGATATTATTATTTAATACTTATATCCTTATTAATAAGAGCTTAATTATTAAAGTAGATAATAAGCTCTTAAAAGATATATTACTTTTAATTATAAATAACTTAAAAGAGTTATACTTAATATATATAAAATCCTTAAACTTATATTTAATTAGAGGGCTTCTTATAGTAATAAAGCTATTAATAATAGAGTAAATCTAATAGCTATATCTATTAAGTTTATCTCTATATTATAATAATTAAGTAAATAAAGTACTCCTTAAGGATATAAAAGATCTTAATAAGCTTAGCCTTAATAATAATTACTTTATTATATATACTTATTATAACTTAGTATTTAATTATTAATTTTAATATATTATATACTATATTAAATTAATTTAAGTAGAGGTAGCTTTTATTTAAGTTTTAATATAATAGATTAATTTAGATTTAAGCTTATTTAATATAATATAATAAAAAAGCTTCTAGGAAAGGTTATTATATTTAAGGTTTATAATATTTACTAAAAAAGTTAAATCTATAAAGTTAAATTAATTAATTATATTTATAAGTATAATATAGTATTTATTATAATAAAATCTTTATTATTAATATATAGTTTAATTAATTCCTAATATCTAGTAATTTATATAATTATATATTATATAATAAATCTATAATATATTATATATAAATACCCTTTTAAAAAACTTAAAGAAGTATAATTTAAATAAATATAATTATATAATTATTATTAATTATAAATATTTACTTTAATAATTAAGAATTTTAAAGTTATATTTCTTTAAGATAATTATAATTATTAAAAGAAAAGTATTAAATTCTTTATATAAAGTATATTTAATTTAATTAAATTATAAAAATATAAAATAAATTACTTAAAAATATTAAATTATAATAAATATATATATATATTTAGTCTATATTAGTTAAATTATAAAAAAACTTTCTTCTAACTTCACTAGTTAAACCTAGCAGCAGTAGTAGAGCATGCTTGACTATATAGTGATCTCAGCCGGTAGTGGTAATTTGTTTCTAATAGGTATCACGATTTCCCCGATAATACTAGGGGAAGAGTTAACGCGAGCTCGCTCGTCTTTTAGCCACTGGCGTGCGTCAGTACCAAGTATTCTTCTCCCTAGGGCCCCAGCGAAACCAGCGCCGCCCAAGTAGTCGTGCTCCTTGTCGGCAGCCAGATGCAGTGGTGGCGCTTTGGATACGGGTGCCTTCTGTGGGCTACTGGCCAAATGTGCGCCACTAGAAAGACTAGAGCTGTCGTTCGAAACATTTTCACGCATATAGTGCTGTTTGAGGATCTGCGCCACCTTGAGATTTCCCCTAAGTTCTGCCATCTCGAGTGCAGTGAATCCATCAGTATCCACGCTCATACCACGAGTGTCTGAGGCTACTGGCGTTGTTCCACGCTCGGATCGTCGCCTGTGTCTTTCTTCCGCTCTGAGAAAGCTAGTCACAGTATCAACCTGCCCCGTATAAGCCGCTAGATGAAGCGCTGTTGTTCCATCAAGTGCCTGCCGCGTAGTGTTTGCGTTGTGACGCAACAGCATTGTTACAAGGGTCGAATGACCACCAGCCGCAGCCCAATGTAGCGCAGTTTGCCCATAACGGTCCTGAGCATCGACGTCGGCACCAAGTTTGATGAGCTCCTTTACAAAACTTCTGTCGCCATGGATGCAGCTCCACTGCAAAGCGGTGCGTCCATGAAAATCTTGGGCTCCCAGGTCTGCGCCGTGCTCGACGAGGTAGACAGCAATATAGGCGTACCATGCTCTTGCGGCAAGGAGCATAGCTGTCCATCCAAACACTTTGATATCGACCGTTGCCCCTCTCTCAATAAGGTCTGCCACCATTTCATGATAGCCTGAGCAAGCCGCGTGGTGAAGCGCGGTGCGGCCACTCTGCTCGCGAATGTCAATGTGTGCACCGTGTTCGAGGAGCAAGCGAACGACCTCATCTCTCCCAAAGTCCGCTGCGTAGGTCAGTGGCATAGACCCACACAACTCGTCTTGGGCGTTGATATCAGCACCAGTCTCGATCAGCGCGAGTAGCCGCATGTCATAATCGCTGTTGATGACCGAACAAAGGCCACTGACGACAGTACTTCCGACGGACTTTCTATCAGCCATCTCCTCCATCATAGCACGCATGCCATCGTCCTTCAGTCGTTCCCTGAACTGGGAGGATATATTATGACCGTCGTCCGTATAGTCAACCAGAACTTTTACAAGGGATTCCTTCCCTTTCAACACTGACGCATCCAAAGGTGTCCATCCATCAATGTCACGATTGTTGGCATTTGCCCCTTGTGCCAACAGAAGGTCGACGATGTAATCGTGTCCTCCCAATGCCGCCGCGTGCAATGCCGTGAAGCCATAGTCGTCGCCCCTATCGATATTGGCACCAAGCTCGAGCAGCGTCTCCACTGTGTCCGCCTTCCCGGCGAGTGCACTCCAGAGGAGGGCGCTTTGCCCTTGATCATTAGTCGCATTCACGTCGGCTCCATGGCCCGCGAGTAACTTTGCAATAGCAGCGTGAGATACTGTCCAGTGGATTGCCGTATTACCATAGAGATCTCTCGAGTTCGGATCCGCACCTCGGCTCAACAAGACCTCAGAAGCCTCAATATGCCCTTGGGGTACTGCCCAGTGAAGAGGCGTACTGTGTTGGGGATCATTATAGTCGACATCAGCTCCTTCATCCAAGAGCATCTCCACTGTTTTGTGACTGCCCGTTTCTGCTGCCAAAATCAAGGCTTTGTTGTGCTGGGATTTGTCCAACTTGTCCGGCGTAGCTGTTTGCAGAAGTCTTTTGATGATATCATTATGGCCACCCAAGATAGCCCAGTGGAGCGCCGTCCAGCCCTCAACATCTTCTATCGTATCACTTGCACCTCTTTCCAGAATAAGTTTCACGACCGGTTCATGGCCATTCCTGGCTGCCAGCATCAAAGCTGTCTCCCCACGATTATTGCTTAGGTCCACAAGGATTGTTGTCTCTAACAAGCGTCTCGCCACTTCAGCATGACCGTGCCTAGCTGACAAGAGCAACGGCGTTGTGCCGTAGCTGTCTCTACAGTCGACGTCCACATCTGTTTCGACGAGGACTTCAAAGATCTTGTCCAGCCCCCAATATGCGGTAGCGTGCAGTTTATTGAAGTCGCTCGGAAACTTATTATGCCATTCTCCAATTCGATGACGAGGGAGATGTAATATTTGAACACACGTGCCAAGCTTATTCTCTTCTTCCAAAAAATTGATTATCAACTGGGCCATCTCATCATCCATATGATTGGCTGCGTGTTCGGCCCAGTGGTGGCATGAATACTCAAGGAAACAATACTCATTCAACCGGTCAACCAAGTCTCGAGCCTTATTGCAAGGCCCATCTGCAAAAGGTTCAAATGAAATGTAGGTGAGGCAGGCCATGGCAAGATTTCTCTCACGGTCCGTTAGAAGCGGTTTGTGAAATTTATGCAGATGTTCATGTAGTGTATGATGAGTGAGGCGAACGCAACCACTTTCGTCATCAATCCGAATGAGACCCGAAGAAATGGAGAAGACGAGAACCTTGCTATATAATGCTTCACTGAACAGATTAGTAGCTCCGGGATCGGTGCTCAAGGCATGGATGAGCTCGTCCTTGGACAATGGCCGTCGAGCGCAAAATACATAGGATAGGACAAGCAGTGCGAACTCCCTATCTTCGTCACCTGAGTTCTTTATTCGCTGCAAAGAGTCATCATAAAATTGATGCACATCCTTTGGGAGTGTACCAAGAGCTTTGCGGACATCGAGAGATCGTCGTTTATTGCAGAGGTGGTCCATCTGGAGATGGGCTAGGAGGAACCTAGCTGTGTAATGAGCATTTGGAATGCCGTATGTCAGGTGATGGATTTTTGGGCAACCACTCACATGCCATTAGCTTGCTCTAAGAGCTTTTCAAGTATTGTACTGCGCAATCCTGGGTCTCGGAGTAAGAGCGGGCGAAGCTTTGCGTCAATGGCAAACCTGTGCTCTAAATACGCTCGAATGTCGTCCTGATGAGCAACAATCTCGATTCGTTTCATGTTTGAGAACCTCCCATCGAGTGTCACACTATGGCGAGAAGTTAAAAATAGCCTAATGGAAGATCCAACCTTCCTGGCCGACTCAATGAAGTCCTCTCTGTTCTGTTCCGGACATTCATCCTACACATGAAGCAGGTGTATTAGCAGGGACGGACGAACGAACGAGCCTTTTGCTCCTTCCAAACATACCAAAGCATCAATGAAGACAAAGGAGTTTTTGAACATTGTTGTTAGGTGACGAACAAGTGATAAAAGGTCGTCTTCAGTGGGATATGATCTTTTACTGATGAACTTATCTCGGAAAGCTTGAACCTCGACTGGGAAAGGCTCGCACTGCTCTGCAAATTGGCGAATAATGCTGGACCAAATTTCGGAGACAGATTGAGTTTTACTGTCCTTGTAATTGCAATACACATGTGCAATTGCTCTATCCGAGTCAGGTGTGTTATTTTCAACATAACAGATTGCCGTCGACCTGTTTATGGTTAGTGAGGAGAACTATAATATCGCTTCAAATGGTCCAACATCATATCGCTTGAAGAAGCAAAGTGGTTAGCCATACATCATAACAGTCTTTCCAGTGCCAGCTGAATAAGGGTGTTAGCAAGTCATTCAATAGATGTTGATTGGTATCCATACGATCCCCAGGACACCACATAGTGGAGTGTTCCGTGCCATGTACCCAGTCCTGAAATTCGGTTGTATTCAGTAGCCATTCGCCAGTGCCTTCGTGGTGTTTCGCAGCAGTCTCTCGTTGGTATTCGTGGAAATCAAGACTAGAAAGCCACTTGAGGGTATTGTCTCTTTCTTGGGCTATGATATCTCGTTAGATTCGACCACAGGATTCTACATCCAATTGCACCAACCGTCTAGATGCAGATTCCACCTAGCTGTGTCACGAGCGGTGGAACTCATACGTCGTTCTAGGCGTTCCATAATAGAAGTGGTTTTCTGAATATCGACCCGGACTGCTTCAGTATCCAACTTCATTTTTCCAGCGGTTGAAAGAGTCGCATTTTGCACAACATCTCGGCCGCGCTGGACCGCTTTCTGGAAAGTTTGATGAGCGTCTCTCAATTCAGTATCTTCACCGGTAAGCAAACTCTGAAAGGTTTTGACTGTGACTCCGTTAGATATCCTCGTAGTCCTCCATCTTTATAGTCTTTGCGAGGGCCAGCCAAGGGAGAAAGGATGCTTGAAAAAAGGAGCCAGCACGTACCAACACGCTTCTTGCTGATGTACCTGGTATACAACCCGCAAAGTATTAGAACAGAGCCAAACACGGCATTTATCGCATGCTCAAGTTGCGGTACTGATGGAACCTGAGTTTCCCATATCTCTATCCCTTGTAGATACGATTCCACATCTTGGAAGAATTCTGTGAGTTTATCGTAGTCATTGGACACGTCTTTCGCAGTCTACAGGCTTTAAGTCAAGTACTGAAAGAGGATTATGGGACCATACCTGGATCAAATGTCGGACGGCGGCGAATATAGTCTTGTTAGGGGGCAGGATCTAACTCATGTTAGTTAGTTGCCGCAAGCCCGATATGGGACTTCTTACAGCCCTGGAGGCGTAGGCCGCAATTCCGCCCAATCTCTGTATGGGTGCGAGACTCCCACTGACAAGAGTTTGGAAGCGTGTCAACTTCGAGCCGCCATAGCGCTTATGTTTGAACAATTTATCCATTTCCTCGACCTCAGTCAATACTCCGCCGATACTCGCCGAGTGTCTCATTGCGATGATGTGATTGTTCCCTGTGATTTGAATATATCTTTCAATAGCCCTTTCCCATAGGAGCCCAAGCTCGGACGGGGCACCCAAGGTCAGCTGTTGGTTACTTGCCATGGTGTCCTTGTTGCACAGGGCAAGGGAGCCAAATCACTACGCAAAACGTGAAATATCATATATCGAGGAAAGGCCTCATCGACTGCACGCGTACGGGAGGGGCTTCATCGACTGCACGCGTACGGGTGGGGCTTCGTCGACTGTATGCCTACGGGTGGGGCTTCGTCGACGGTATGCCTAATGTACACGCGCATACGGTCGAGCAATTATCCTACGCCTGCAGTCGAGCGGCGTGGGACTAGGTTTGGCTTTTTGGAGCACCGTGCAATCTCAATCTGAATCGCCATGGAGAATGACTCTCTTTTTTCTCCCAACGTAAAGATTGAGTTCGCCGAATATTTAAGCCAGAATCCAAATAATCGCCGGATCTCGAAAGCCGACCAAGACACTCTGATCCGTTGGCTAACTGACGACACGACTCCTCCCGTCTCGCAGCAGGGGTCCAGCCGCCGCCATTATGCCAGGAAAACATTTGCTTGGAATGTTCAGGAGCAAGTCCTGATATCGTTACCAAAGGGAAAACAGCATAATACTCGGAGGCTGTTGCAGAGGATAAGATCATAGATGTAGTAGGAGAGGCGCATGAGAGCAATCGTCACGGCGGCTGGGATGCAACTTGGAAGGACGTCAGCAACAATTACTATGGTATCCTGCGTGCGGACGTCATTTTCCTGCTCAAAAAATGCGATGTGTGCGCTCGAGATCCTCGCAAGCAGCCCAAAGGTAACCCCCACACACAATTAGCAGATATGGGAACTACCACTTCCTCGAGCGGGTTGAGCCCCCGAGGACCTAACCTACGGCGAACAGAACTCCGAAACGGAGAAAACAAGGGTTAGCCAACCAGATGGTCTGTCTACCTCGCCATAGCTCAATTTATTAGAAAGTGGCATCATAAATTAGGGATCTACAGCACACGGGTCAATATAGGCAGCCAGCGACTAGCTGTAATTTCTACCCGCTCGACTTGAATTGAGCAAGTTAATGGGTCAGACATGAATATTGCCTTTGACACATCTTCCATCATAAAATTCTCGAATCAGAGGCGTAATGACCTAAGCCTCCTACACTGCTTAAGAAGTTAAACACACGCAAAAACATGTGCTAGTAGTTTAAGATAGCTCGTATCAGAGTCTAGGAACGTACACGAATTGAGGTCATGATCGACTTCACTCTCCCAGGAGAAAACCAGAATTTCCATGTTTCCACGACTAGCACTCCTAATCGCAATGAGGAATCGCGTGAGGTCCTCTATATCCCCCAGTTGGAATCCAATATGACGGTACGCTATTGGTAGTGCTTCTTATCGTATCTGTCTGTTCACCTGCAGAATTGTATATTCGCTGCCTGAAGGACGCTTTGTAGGTTTTTTCCCTCAGTGAGCCAATTTCCCCCTTGGAGAGCAAGGCCAAAAATAGTATAGCATAATTCTTGCGATAGAGTTTTTATAGTCGTATGATGCTGTACTAGCTATGATGCGGTCTCGGGTTTACTTTCGCGGACGTCGTTGTGCGTGACTGTGTTGTCGGCTTTCTAGAGAAGGCTCTGCTTGGTGATGTGCTGGCTGGCCGGTTTAGATGGCGCCTTGGAAGAACGACGGCGATGGGTCTATTATGGCCCTACTTACCATCGTAGCCGATAGCTTGCGACCACAGGGTTTTCTTTTCAGACGATGCTTGCACGCGCTGTTATGTTGAAAGCGTGCGCACACGTGTTGTCATTATGTACTCCAAATACATTTTGGTGTCGCTCTGCCATCGCAGGTGGGGCTTCTGGGCGGATAAATGCCGGCTACGACTGCAGTGTGCTGGAGCCTAGCTGCAGGACGATCAAACCAAGCTCTCATAAAGACGGGATGGGCAACGACGTTTTCGAATACGATGGACGCCATTGAAAGCCTTCTTCGTAGGGCTGAGGGGCAAGGGGTCAAAATTTCTGGTATTAAGCCGATTGCCGTCCCTGGCCGTGGAATTGGGGTGGTGGCTATTCATGACATCAAAGTATGTAGTCTGCCTCTCCCTTTGGGACCTCCTTCTGACCTTTCACCAGGAAGGGGATGCCATCATGACCGTACCGATCGAGGCTATTCGCAGCCTTCACACGATCCCGGAAGATATATCTTGCCAACTTTCACCAGAAATGACGATCCATGGCCTTTTGGCTGCCGAGCTTGCACTCCATCGTAATCCTACGGCAGACTGGGCTGGTTTGGTACCACAATGGACAGATTTTGAAGCCACCGTCCCGATGCTATGGCCCGAAGAACTCCAACTGCTTCTCCCTGCAGAGGCCAAGAGAATTTTGGCCAAACAACTCGCGAGATTCAAAATCGATTGGGATACGTTCAGAAAGGGCTTTCCGAACCAAGATCGGCGAGATTACCTGTATGCCTGGCTGCTTGTCAATACAAGAGCATTTTATTTCGACATGAATAATATGATGTCATACCCGTGGCACGACCGACTGGCGTTACTTCCGGTTGCTGACCTCTTCAACCACGCAAATACAGGTTGCATTGTATCACTTATGACGGAACACTATATCATTACTGCAGACCGCCCTTATCGTGCTAGTGAGGAGATGTGCATATCATATAGAGACCACTCCAACAACTATCTAATATCCGAGTACGGATTTCTATTAAGAGACAATTAGCAGGATAAATTGTGCCTCAATGATTTGATCCTGCCGAGACTGAGCTCGGCACAAATATCAGAGTTAGAGGAAAAAGGGCACCTAGGAGATTTCATGCTTCAGGCTAGGTCAAAAAGGCATAACAGTATTTAGATCACATTACAGCTACTTTCTTATATCAATACACAGTAGCAGAGCTACATAAATAGCGAAGAGGACACCGAAGGCACCTTTAAGAAGGCTACTAATCTATTATCAGTCCTTCTTAAAGAATATCTGGGTAGCATTAAAGACACTCTGAACGCCATTCGTACATTGCAGATTAGAAAGACTCACCAAAGAGACATGCTCTTGCAGCGTTAGGAACAGATAGAGGTCATCGCTAGGCAGGCTGTAGCAGATAAAATGTTGATTAAATAAGTGGAGGAACTGATTTTCTTTTTCTAGTTAGAAAGAATATATATAGAGATAATAATTAATAATAAATTATACTTATTATTATTATAATAAGTTATTAGCTTTAATAAAAGAGAGTTTAAATTATATATATTAATTTTATTAAGTATTTTAATAATTAATTTTAATAATAATATATATATTTAATTTAGTTTTATTATATTTATATTATTTAATATATAATATTAAGTAAAGTAATTAAATAGATATTTAATAATCTTATAATAATATTATTTACTATATAATATATAACTATATAAATTATTAAGTATTAAGAATTAATTAAGCTATATATTAATAATAAAAATTTTATTATAATAAAGATTATATTATACTTATAAATATAATTAATTAATTTAACTTTATAGATCTAACTTTTCTAATAAATATTATAAATCTTAAATATAATAACCTTTCCTAGAAGCTTTTCTATTATATTATATTAAGTAAGCTTAAATCTAAATTAATCTATTAAATTAAAATTTATATAAAAGCTACTTTTACTTAAATTAATTTAATATAGTATATAATATATTAAAACTAATAATTAAATATTAAATTATAATAAGTATATATAATAAAGTAATTATTATTAAGGCTAAGTTTATTAAGGTCTTTTATATCCTTAAGGAGTACTTTATTTATTTAATTATTATAATATAAAGATAAACTTAATAAATATAATTATTAAATTTACTTTATTATTAATAGCTTTATTACTATAAGAAGCCTTTTAATTAAATATAGGCTTAAGGATTTTATATATATTAAGTATAACTCTCTTAAGTTATTTATAATTAAAATTAATATATCTTTTAAGAGTTTATTATTTACTTTAATAATTAAGCTCTTATTAATAGAGATATAAGTATTAAATAATAATATCTTATTATTATTATTATTATTATTATTATTATTATTATTATTATTATTATTATTATTATTATTATTATTATTATTATTATTATTATTATTATTATTATTATTATTATTATTATTATTATTATTATTATTATTATTATTATTATTATTATTATTATTATTATTATTATTATTATTATTACTATATAGGAATATAGTTATAGTTAATAGTAATAAGTATCCTCTTTTAAGGCTATAGCTAACTTATATATTAACTAGCTCTTATTAGAGTTTTTAATAAAATATTAATACTTATAGTAAACTAGCCCTATAGTAACTATAGATAGATATTAACTCTTAAGTTTATATTCTTAAAGAGGAAGAGAGTAAGTTCCTTCTAATAGCCTAAGTTCCTCCTTTTATAATACTATTATAGCTTAAACTAAGGCTTAAGCTACCTATAGTTACCTTCTATTAAGCTTAACTTAAGACCTTATTAAGCCTTAGTTTATAATATACCTCCTTACTTAAAGCCCTCTTAGAACTTATTAAAGTACTATACTAAAAGTTTAAGTAATCCTTTCTTTATCCTAGTATTTTTATTTTTAAAACTACTATAAGTATATATTATTATAGTAATAAATATAAAGTAATTATAATATAAACTTACCTTACTTTAACTTTATTATAATCTCTACTTATTCTACTACCTTAACTCCTCTATAATATTAATTATTTATCTTTATATTTAAACCTTTATATCTTTATAACTTCTATATTATACTTATACTACCTTAAACCTTTTTTATTTTAATTTTAATCTAGTTTTATAATAATATATTTATTATTATACTACCTCTTAATCTACCTTTAAATAGTAATAGTATTAATCCCTAAGGGTATAAAGATAAAACTAAGTATTATTATACTTAAGAGCTTCTAATTATAACTTATAAAAAAAAGAAGTATATTAATATATAAAATATATATTATTACCCTTTTTCCTTAAGAATTTTTCTTACTAATTATTTACTTTTTAATATAGAATACCCTTAATTTAATCCTTACTTTATTAAATCCTCTTACCCCTAAATCTCTATTTACTACTATAGTTAACCTTAGCCTTAATAATAGCTCTTAAACTATTATTATCTTAATAATCTTTATTATTATTAAACCTACCTTTAGCTATAATAAGGTTAAGCTTATAATTAAAAAGGCTATAAATAGTTTCCTTATTAAGGGTAACTTTAATAATAAATAATATATTACCCTTAAATAAATCCTTAAAATCTATATCCTATATTATTAAGGTACTTTTACTAAAGGTAAGCTTATATATATATATAGTAATAGTAAGACCTACCTTATATATTATAATAAAAAGGTAAAATATAAGTAGAATATATAACTTTTTACCTTTAATCTTACTCTATAATAAGTATAGAATAATATTATAATTATTATTAACTAAGGTAATTATATTATCTTTACTACTTAAGCTAAGATTATTACTTTAAAGGCTAAATACTCTATTATAGCCCCTTCTTATAATAAGTTAATTTATATTTATAAACTTATTTATAATAATACCCTTTAATTTAATATAAGTATTTATTCTATATATATTTCTAGCTCTTAAGCTTTTATCCTTACTTTATAGGGAGCTTTAATTAAGTTAACTATTTAATTTATTATTATTACTCTTAGTTATACTTATATAAGTAGAATTTCTAATAATACTATAATATACTTTATATATAATATTATTAATAAGTTTTACTATATTAATATAAGTTATTATAATATTATTAACTTATTTTAATATAGTTATTAATTATTTTAATTAAAATTATATTAATAAGTATATATATATATAGTAAAAGTTAATTTATATACTTTAAGAATCTATATAGTATTAAAACTAAATCCTAAATAATATAACTTAAGTTTTAAATTATATTATTTTAAGTCTTTATATAAGATATTATAATACTTACTTTAAGCTATTTAGCTTTAATAATTATTATTATAATATACTTTATATACTACTTAGCTTTAATAATTATTATTATAATATACTTTATATACTACTTAGCTCTAATAACTACTATAATAATAAGTATAATCCTACTTTACCTTAGTATTAAATACCCTTATATTATAAATAATATCTAATTACTAATTTACTATATATAACCTCTTAATCTATTAAAATAGCTACTCCCCCTCTAGTTTATAATATCCTCTAGCTATTCTAGTTCTTATACCTCTTATAGTAAAAATATATAGTTTAATAATTAGCCTCTTAAGGCCCCTAAAGGTCTTATTCCTAGTTATATTAATTATATACCTTAGCCCCTTAATTATATATAGAGTAATTAAATTATATACTCTTTAAATAGCTTATATAAATAATCCTCTTTTAGCTAGACCCTTTATTAACCTTAAGTATTTACCCTTAGTTAATAATCTAATATTATTATTACTATTAAGCTCCTTACTTATAAGGCTAATATATAAGATTAATACCTTAATATATATTATTATAGGTATAATTAGTTCTAATATAATAAAGGTAACTTAATAAACTAAAATAGTAAAGATCTCTTTATAAAGCTTAAGTTATACTTTAGGCCTTTAGGTTAATATTATAAGCTAACCCTTAATAAGTATAATAATAAATCTAAAGAGGATAAATAGTAAGATTCTAAATATAAAATAAATTAAGATATATATTTAATATATATACTAAGTATTAAGCTATAATTACCCTTTTTCCCCTCTATAGTTTTTACTAAGGCCTAATTATAATATAATTAATAAGAGTTTTTACTTATTAATTTAATATTTTTTTATAATCTTTTCCTTATATCCTTTAGCTTATTTATAAAGTATATATTACTTTATTTCTATTTAAATTTATCTAAAGCTATTATATCCTAAAATTCCTTAAATAGCTCTTAAGTTAGCTTATTATAATCTATCTATTTTACTAAAACCTTTCTATAATAGCCTTAGCCTAAGGTATTCTTAATAGCTAATATAGCTTTAATTTAATATTAATCCTTTTATATATTATTATTTAAATCTACCCTTAATAGCCTTAGCCTTATATTTATAACTTTTTAAAATAAGAGAGGGTTAATAACTATTTACTTTATAAGGTCTATATAAAAAGTAAGATAAATAGTTCTAGATATATCTAAAGTAATTATATTTAAGTTTAATATTATTATTACTAAGTATTTTATATATAGTTAATCTAGCTTTTTAATTAAATAAGCTATCTTAATATTTCTTAATAATAGCTATACTATATTATTAATATAAAAGCACTTTATAAGTTAATATAATTAATTTATATTTATTTATTATTTTTACTATATAAATATAATTATAGCTTAAGCTAACTTAGTCCTAGACCTTAGATACTTTAAGAACTAAATAGCTTTACCTTTAAAGGAGTATTTTAGCTTAAGTAGATCCTAAGGTATTTAAACTAAGTTAATATTAAACTTATTTAATAACTTAAATAAGCTTATACCTATAATTAATAAGTTTTTATTATTTAAAGCTAATTAGTAAGCTAGTAAGTATAATACTTAATCTAACTATAAAAATAATATTATAACTCTTAATACTACTTATACTTCTTAGTTTACTCTTTTTATATTATTATTTATTTAAGGATAATATATAGT